CTTATTATGCGAGGAATTTTGAGGTCATGCATGGTGATTGGTTGGATGATGATCGTTCTTCAACTGCTCGGGAGGAGTTTGATGAGAATGCTTCATATTTTGATTTGAGTATTCTCCAAATTGTTGAGGTTAGTCTTCCTGTTAATAAAAGTAAGCGAAAAAATGTAAATATTAGAAGAAGTTAATTGTTGTTGTCTCTTCTTCTTTCCAATGGTGCTCTTTCATATTGCTTCAGGTCTGCTTTGCCGATGGTTTTCTAATGGCTGCTGGTTTTTTCTAGGCAATGATGATGAGGATTCATTGCCACTTGGGCCTCGCTTGTTGGCAACTTTGGTGGTCCTTTTGCGGTTTGGCGTATTGTGACTTGGTCTTGGTTTGCTGCGTCCAATGGAGGGCCCCTGCTTGGCTTGGGTTGGGCATGCGTTGCCTCATGAGTCCGGTTCTTTTCATATGTTTAGTTTGTAGTTTGGCTCACGCTTTGTTGTGTGGCTTGATTTTTTGGCTCATTAGGATTCTCCCTCCTCTTGTGTTGCTCTTGGGAGCATTAGCGAGCCCTTTGATTGTGTTGCACTTGTTTCTTTTTTTCTTGAATAATATGGTAGTCTATAAAATAATAATAATAATAATAATAATACTAAACAGTCAAGTGTAAGTCACATAATTTGATATTTTTTACACTTGTATTAAAAAAATTTCATTATATTCTCAAATAATTTATATCATAATAGTTTTGAAACTATTTTGAGATTAATATAATAAAAATTCTTACATATAATATTAATCTTAAAATATATTTAATAATTTTTAAAATTTGAGGACCACAAAGGAGCGCACCATGAAGAATTGTGAAGCACGTTTCCACTTGTTTTTAGTGGGCCCACAAGTCATGCCTTTAATTAAGCCACAATCCATGCCTATTCAACAGGAATTTATTGTCCAAGCATTAAGAAAAACAAAACATTTTTTAATAAATAAATAAGTTCATATTGAAAAAAAAAGCACCGAGTTTTTGAAAAACTCAATACACCTCGGTACTGCGGGATTTTTACCTACGAACCGAATGTTTCTCTCATTCGGTCGGAGGACGTAATAATTGTTCCAATCATAGAGCCAATCATTACTCATTTTACTATGCAATCGATGATTCACAATTTTCATTGCAAAAAATTAAATCTTATTTATATTGTACTAGTAGCAATTGACATAATCGAAGCTAAGATAATAAACCTGTAAATTATGAGATACATAAGATATTTCTTAACATTTATGATTTATTTTGGATGATCAATAATATTACTCAAAGATGAGAACTTAGCACTTGTATATATATATATATTAGAGCTACATTAATCTTGACACAAACTCAAGAATTTTAATGTCCTCCCTAATATGAGAGTCATAGGGATTTTGTCAAACAGTTTTGTTTTATATCATTTTTTTAACCAAACAAATCTGCTGAAATTCCAACCCTTCACTGATTTATGCTTTAAAAATTAAGGCTTCATGTAAATTATTATGTGCAGTCACAGCTCGGTACCGAAGTCATTTTTTTGCTATGTACTGCTCGGTATAGAATGACATGACGTGTTCTAATTCTCCTCTGGACTGTTCGATGATCGCAAAGAATAATTTTTCTCATATGAGATAACTTTCTTATTTCTTTCTAAAATGACTTTTTAGTGCAAATATTTCTAGAATTAAAATTTTTTATATAAATAAGCTGCATTAGAGAGCAATAATAAAACTGTCCCAAACAATTACAAACTTCATTTGGGATAGCTTTCTTATGGCTCTTCTTATCCTCTCTCTCTCTCAACTCCAACTCCCCTATCTTAGAACATCTCCCAGCCCAAATACATTTCAACCTCTCTCTCTCTCTCTCTCTCTCCACACATCCCCAACCTTTCACCCCATCCGCTACACCGCCGACTAACCGCCGCCTCACCTTCATTCCCCCACCCACCACACCATCTCCTCCACCGACATTCGCCGCCCTACCCTAGACCTTACTCGTCGCCTTTACATCTTATATCATTAGCTTAGAGAATCTTCATATTGTATTTATAATTATTATAAAGATTAAGAATATTGGAAACAACAAATCAATAGAGATTACATATTATTTAGTGAAGGCTTAAAAAGAATTGGATAGAGAACATGATGGTGGATGAGAATTAGAAGATAAAGAAGGGAGATAGATTGATTCTTCAAGTCATGGAGATAGCAAAACTTTTTTACACCTAGTGGAGGTGAATGTCAAAAAAGTTGACAAATTAATAAAATTATCCTTAAAAGTTGATTACTTAGTCTACAATTAGGAGTTTCAACTAATTTATTAACTAATATAACAATAAGTACTTGATAACTTTAATCTCTTTTATAGCATTCTTGATCATGTAGTAATTAGAGTGTTGGTTAAGGACAGAAGGGTGTCTTGATGCATCATTATCGTACTTCTACATGAAAAATTATTAGGTGCGGAGTGTGCACCGTCCGCACAAATATGGGTACCTTGCGGTACCCAACGGTACCGAGTGTCGGTACCTAGCGTGGAATAAGGCTTGTGCGGACGGTTCTCCCCGTCCGCACTCCATACCTAATAATCAGACGTGGTTTGAGTTATAATTTAATTTATTTCATATGCTTTAATGAATCCATTTACATAATAGCATATGATATTACTTCTTTTTTTTTACATTTTAAGGACCATTATGAGGGATCTTTTTGATCTCTTAACATCATTCATAAAGATGGTTGGAAGCTATATGTAGTAAAATTTGGGTAATTAAGAAATAAAATTATTTAAAAATAACCAACGATTGGATTATCATGACATTGTTAGTAATTGTGGTTGCGACTCTAATTGCAGCATTAATGATGATTGCGCATAAGTTACAAATGTAACATTAATAAGACATGAAGGAAGACAAGAAGACATTATGATATAGATTTGGATGAAGGATGATCCTATTAGCATGCATGTTATTGTGTGAATTAGTCATGAGCGAGCGACGAAAATTGACGCAAAGAAAGAAAGAAAATGCTTGTTAAGCCAACTTGAACCTCCTTTTGGGATGCTTACCTTCAGGCTTAAGCCTAATCAGAAGGGGAAAAAAATTATAGTTAAGCTTCTCAGACTTGGCAATAACAAAAAATAGTAACATTTTGTTGACCTGTATACGGCAGTTTAAAGAAAACAAAAAAAAAAAAAATCATTTCGCGTACCTGCCCGACATCTGCACGACGATCGCACGTCGTCACCGCTAAAATAAACTCCCTCGCTCAGATAAAAAAAGAAATCGCGCAGCGAATGGAGGCCGGGGCCGAATTTTCGGAGCCCACACATTTGATTTAGAGTTTTAAGCTGGTTTAAAAAAACTTAGAACTCCAACAACAACAAGAAGTCTTTATCCCACTATATGGGATCGGCTACATGATTTCTTTTTCTTCATTGTGTCATGTTATGAGTCTAATTCTCATTTAAATCTAATAAAAAATGTCATTTTTAATACTTTCTAAGTCTTTTTACAAAAACCTTTACTTTTCGTAATATAGGTCAAATTTAATACATCTACTCTCCTAACAGGGTCATCAAAAGTCTGACGTTTTGTGACAAAATCATCTAAGACGACTCCCTCTAATCTTATTTGTCACTACAGCTATTTCAACCTTTTCACGTATACACATGTTTCACATTTTATCTCTAAGAGCGAGAAGCCACATGACATGAATCCAAAAAACTTAGAACTCCATAAAAATTTAAAAAAGGGGAATGTTAGAACTTTTATCAATCTTAGAATAATGTTATGTTCAGCCAATAAAACTCAGGTAAGTAAAAGCTGCATGATGTAATTTAAATGATTGGATTCAATAATTTTATACAGTTATATTAAAAAATTCCTAGTGTTATGCTTACATAATTGCCATAAATTCTAATAGAATACTGATTTTTTCAAATGTAAGTGTACTTCGTTGATTATTCTTATTGAAGAAATTTTCCTTCCAAAGCGTTTTCCTCCTTTCCCTTATTAATTTTGTCGCATGTTCCCTTTGTAATAAAAGCTAACTTTACTGTAATTAATCACAGTTTATGTACAGTCTGATACCTTGTCTGGATCAAAAGCTTCTTAGCAGAATCAAGCTAAACAGGCAATTAAAATTAATTTTAATTAATTTCAGGCTGCTCTCAATCTTCCCCCATTGCAATCAATTAAACTTCTATTTTATAACTACAGTTCTCTTTATGATTTAATTCATCTACTCAGTTTACTTGCATTGAAATGCCAATGGGGATGGACGAGCGGCCTTCAATACTTCAGAATCTAGTCATTGGTGCAGTTCCTCGGCAAAGCGCCAAAGGAGCATGACAAACGATCTTTAGGCTTCGTTTATGACAATTTTATTACTGCTTTCTAAGGCAGCTTTTTAGTATTAAAAATTTGTGTACTAGAAAACTACTTTAGAACGCAGTAACAAAATTGTCCCAAACGAAACCTCAATCTTTTACAATCTAGTTGTTGGTGCAATTCCCCTCTAGCTTTTAGTTGAGCCTAACTTTTGTAATCCAAGGGGTCGAGGTTCCGTCGATCTACTTTGTTATCCCAGTATATAAAAGAATAAATTACTCCAAGCAAAGTACCCCAATAATATAGAGATCAGGAAAGGAACTGATATAAACTCTCTCTCTTAATCCATTTTTTGACTCAGAATAAGCTTTCTAAACATGAAAATGTAACCACAATAAGGAAGAAATGCTTTTTACTATTATTTTTTCTGCTAAATAATTGAAGGTAAATGTGAGTCTCCTATTATTTTTATACAGTTAGCAAATCATAGGAAGCAATCATCTCAATCGTCCAAATACTATTTGAACTCTAATTTATGAATTTTCATTCTCCATTTTAAATTCTGCACAAAACATTAATCTATACTAAGTGAATTATTTAGCATTTCTATCACAACCATAAACTGTAGTGAACAAAACCACAACCACTTCTATATATGAAGAGAAGCAATAGTTTTTTGAAGATATAAAATGATAAGTCCAGTAAAATATTGAATTATGCTGATTAAAAATTAACATCAGCAAGAATACTTTGTGTTCTTTAATTTTTTATAACATTAAACTCGTACCTCCTTATACTTAACAGAAGATAAACCAAGTTAGGAGGCCATGAATAGGCGCCGACTAATCTACAAAGTTCAGCCAAATACACAATACAGTGGGAAATAAAGATAGACTAACCTTAGCTTGAAAAGAGATGATCAGGTTCTGTGGCAAATTATTTGTATGTAAAGAGTCTATCAGACTCTTTACAATAGTTCCCAATCAGAGTCTAAGGATGTCTTTGAATGCTGATCAGCTTGATGAGTCACCAGCTGCCTTCCCCTAGATGCTCGCCATCTTGAAGTAAGCATTTTCTTCAGTTTTTTCTGATATAGAAGAGCAAAATAATTGGTTCATGTTTTCAGACAAAATGGTGGGGAGAAATATATTTCGGCGGCGGTTTATTAAACACCGCCGGTTAAACCGCCGGTTAAAACCGGCGGTCAAACCGTCGGCTAAACCACCAGTATTACCGGTGGCTATAGGACCGCCGGTAATAGCCGCCGGTAATACCTGAATTTCTTGTAGTGATATCATAAGTATTGCCTTATGTTTTCAGACAAATGGTGGGGAGAAAAAGAAAAGAGTTCAAGAACAGTGTAATCAATAACCACTCAACTTAGGCATTCCATCAAAATATTATTATGGTAGAGACATCAATACAAGTTCAAAAATTATAAGGTAATCCACGAATAAGTCAAATTTTGACTATGCTAATAGAGACAACAGTATTTACATGTTTAATAAGGCGGCTTTCATAAAATCATATTAATACCAAAGCCTAGCACAAATCCACTCCTTTAATTTCAAATCCAGGAAGAGCTTCATAGAGGCCTTCATTTGAAATTTAGCTCAAATACGCTTTCACTATTTGCTAATCAAATTGGCTAACACCTTGCTAATCCTAATTTGTACATTGTCAAGCTGAAAATTGTGGGCAAACAAAACTTCATGGTAAAAACACACACGAGTCAGCATCCCCTCAAAAAACATCAAAGCTTTTGATTAAACCTATCCAAATATTATTCTGATATTCATATCTGTGTGGCATGAAAATAAATTCAAACGTAGGTAAAGTGAAATAAATTATAAAAAAAATACAATGCATGGGTTTTCTAATAAAGCGATCTGTTAGACCGGTCCCTAGTGGACCGGTTTTTGTTTATTCCAGGAGGGGCGGCGGTAAAGAGAGAGAGAGGAGTGGGGTCCACTAAGAATTCAAATTCAAACTCCTTGGAGGGAAAGGAGGGGGCGGCAAGGGCTCTGTAATAATTTTGACTTGATTAATTAATTGTATGCTTTAAGTAGGATGAGGGAATTACCAAAATTAATATATTTTTGATGTGATTCCCCATCAGATTTGTGAGTTTATTTGCTGATTTTGTCTCTATTGATGGAAATACATGAGATTTACAAGTATTCCCTATCACGATCCATATTTAAATCCAAGATAGTGTTCAGTTAACTTACATAATTAATAGTGAAGCTGATAACAAAATTAGTGATGAAAATGGATTATGCTGCAATATAAGCTTAAGCATGTAAAGAAATCTTAAAAAAAGTATAAACAACAAAAAAGAAAAAAAAATTGCATGAAACTGTGTACGGTATTAGATAAGATAAATACTGTGCATGCCCTTCATGAAGAAATGCTTCTACTCATCCTACTGATGCTAAAATACATAATTCATGTTTTCCAATACATCTCAATCAATTTGACAGATATTGCATCTAGCACTATAGAGAAATGGCTATGGATGATAAAACTAAAATTAATATTTATAAACACTGAAATATAAAAAATATACTACCTTGGATGACTCTTTTTTTGCCACTTGAGATGAAATCAAGGCAATTTCAGCCATTACCATCTCATCCCAGTCATTCTCAACCTTTACTGCTTCAAAATCATCTTCAAGTTTTACATCCTCAAAGTCGTTTAAGTCTTCGTTCTTCAGATTGAAAATGGAAGAGTTGCCAAACTCTTCCCTGCTAATTATATTTAAATTTTCTTGGAAATCTGCAGCTGAAAGCCTAGTAGTCAGCTAATGTAAAAGGAAGAAAAAGATAACAACAGAGTCAACTGCATACGATATAGTTGAGGTATTGCAGGAAGTATGACATATGTATTAATAAATACATCGAGACAGTCATAGTATCGTGGATATTGGTAACACAGAAAATTCATATGCATTATTTAGAGAACTTGGTTTCTACATATAGGAATACAAGAAACAAAAAAAAAAATCCTCAATTAAGGGGATTAAAAAAAGTGTATATCCTAATATGATGCTTTCCAAAGAAAAGATATCCTCAATTAAGAAGAAAAAAAAAAATCTTTACTAATATATTTCTTTTCAAAGATAGCAAATTCCAATCTTCTTATTTTCCCATAATATTACTCTCTCAAAGGTTGAAGTATATCAAAATTTCCAGCAAAGATTGAAAAAAAGAAGAGCTCCCAGAGCTTTGACAATTGTTCTTCAATATATTAGCTCCATGATTATTATAGTTAAGGTTCATAGGCCATGTGTCCAAAAACCTAAATTCTTAATCATAAGTTTTGATCCACATCATTTCACAAATGGAATGAGCCATGGTATGGTATTCAAATTTAGCAATCCATCTAGCTACCATCTATTTGCTTCTTTTTTCCCAAGATGCAAGATTATCACACACAAAAATACAATATCCTAAAGTAGATTTCCGGTTTTTAATAGATCAAGCATTGTCAGCATCGAAAAAGGCTTTGATTTTCTAATGATTTAGTTTCTAATAGACCAGACATTTTGCTAGAGATTTCTTGATATATCTCAAAATTCATAAGACAATTTCCAAAAATGTTTTTCTTTTTGGTTTTACATATGCTAATGACTAAGGATATGTAAGTAACAGTGACAATCCTAAGAAAAATGCTGAGTTTCTCTATTATAATAGCATGCTTACACCCAAGAAGATTCTTTTCTTCAAGGTCTACAACGCACTTCCTTGAAGAGAGATAAATACCCTTACAGCTATATGCATACTCAAAGCTGAGGAAGTGTTTGAGACATGGTGGAAATATCTTCTACATATAATACTTATTTCAGTGATGCCAGATATATCTCTCTTAGTGTGAATATGTCAACAACATATATAACAGACATAATAGCGTATGAGGACGAATGTTGAATAAAGACTTCCAAAACTTTGGCAAGCCAGAATGAAGTAATTGTTTCAATCCATATATAATTTTTTTTTAAAACTGCGAAGTTTATTCCTCCCTGAGTAACATGCATACGAGGTTGCTCCATATATATGGCATCAAGAATATCCTCATAGAGATTATTAACTATCCATTTATAATTTTGGTAATCCTTGATTACCAATAGATAGAAGGAAACTTACAGAGTTTAGTCATGTAACTAATGAAAAACGCTCAAAGTAGTTGATGACATGAATCGGAATAAGCCCTTTCACCACTAGGTGAGCTTTCTATCAATCAATGAAGCCATGAGGATAGGACTCTTAGTGCGAAGGATGTCAACAACATATATTGCCAAAATAATAATGCTTGAGGAATATGTTAAACAAATATAGAGTGGTCAGACGTACTAAATCATATGATTTAAGAACTTGTTTGAGGCGCACATCTCGAGGGCTTGCCTCAAGTTTAGATGCACAAGGATGGCCTCAAGGACTAAGCCTTATTGGCATCAATGAGGCTTATGCCACAAGGCATTTTCATGCGACTTCTTATTCAGGTTAAATTTTATAAAAAAAATTCATTATATATTATTATTATTATTATTTGATGTGATACATAAAATGAATTGCATGAAGTTAATAAAGAATTGTAAGCTAGCTAATTTTAAAATTAATGTTTCACAAGATTATATTATAGGATTTCTTAGTTGTTGTTGTTGCGTTGTATGTGGACACAAACTAGATTAGAAGGGCAATTTAAAATAACAACAAAATTATAGTAAAGCTAGATGCACAAGTAACAGAAATCTACCGGTTAACAAATAGAAAGTTCACCTTGAGTTCCCCCTCACTCCACTCTTGAGGGTTGTTTTAGCGGAAGAGTAATTTCAGCAAACTTAATGACGCCACTAAAGAATAGAAGATGCCTACGGTATTGCCCAACGAAAACTTAGCCAGAGGGGAAGAAGTCGGTGGATGTTAAAGAACTTGTCGCTGTCCGGAAGTTTGATGCTTGTCGATGGTTGACGTCAAAGTGAAGAGGATCTAGTCGACGTAATTATCAATAGTATGGTCGATCTCTAAGTTGAGGTTGAAGAAGGGGTGATCTCAACACATCTAATCGTCCTTGATGATCGTATACAAATCCATGTTCTCTTTCAGGATTGGCCATTCATGGGGAGTAGGTTGGGGTTGTGTATAGCTCCTTCCTTGGATGGTGTATGAAGTTCGGGAGAAGAGGAGAGGAGGAAGGGGAGGTTGGGGTGGTCGGCCAAGGCTAGGGGAAGAGGCCACTTTAGTTTCAGATTTTGGTTTAGGTGGGTGGAGGGGAAATAAATTAAAATTTGAAATTTAATTTCATATTTCATAATTGGAAAGAAAGGAATAATTTTGAAATTTGAATCTCCTCTAATTGGGGAATAAGTGGGGTGGCACACCTTGAAGGGAGGGCGTTGACTGAGAGCATTAATGAAGATACTTAATTAAGAGAGAGGGAATAAGGGGGTCGATCAAAGAAGGGTGAGGAAGGGTGTCCACATTCAACGAATGTGTCTACTTGCAATAAATGTGTGATTTGGAATTAAATCCACATTTTTTTTAGAATTAAATCCACATTAATTTCTGATTGGGAGTGATTTGGGGAGCTTCCTAAATAGATTTATTAAATAGGAAAGAGTTTGAATTTTAAATCTATTTGAACTCAAATGAGACTTTCCAAATTAATGATAGGATAAATTAGAAATATGTTTAAGAGGCAATTTGAATTTGGAAACAAGGGCTTGTGGGGAAGGAGGGGCCGGTGGCATGGACTTGGGCTAGGTAGGCCAGCGGCTAGGGAGGAGCCGGATTTGAGTTCGGTGGGGAAATGGGAGGGCAGAGAGGCTAGGAGCCGTAGGGTTGGGTGGAGAGGGGAGGGGGGCGGTGGCCTGAGGTGGAGAGGGAAGGGGGCCCGGTGGCTTGAGGTGGATGGGAGAGGTGTGACCGGAATTTAGGGGGAGGTTGTGGGTGGCCGACGGTATGGGGTTAAAAAGGCACCCAAATATGGACACTTCAACTGGAATGAGGTTACAGAGGAACGAAAAAAAAAAAAAAACAAACAGGATTGTAAGAAGTTATCAAATTTTACGGGGTCAGTAAAAAAGAAACTTAATCAAGGAATAGTAAGGTAAGGGTTTAGGAAGGGAGACAAAGAAGCATGCCTCAAAGACATTGGCGCATAGGAGCAAAGAGAAGCATCAAATAAAAAGGAGATGCAAAGAAGAAGCCAACTCATCCCAGAATTTCTCTTAAGCGAGGAAAACCTGGCAATAGTTCATAATAGCTTAGCAAGAAGCATAAAAGACAAATTGGCAATGATGTTTAGCATAACCAAAAAGTAGGCCAATTTAAGACCTAAATAAACAAGAGGTCTTCTTTGGCACCGATGTTAGAAACTATGGAAAATTGAATCTGAGAAGAAGTTCCGAACAATGTATCAAAGAAACTTTCTATTCGAGGTGGTGTCTCAACTCATTAAGCCCCACAAGCCCTCGTGTTCCCTATCATACAACCTTATGCCTCAACTATGTGAGATTTAGTACCTCGAGACATAGCATCACATGACCTATATATATGTTCTCCTCATTCTCACACCCACTGCCACTCCCATACGCCATCACAAATTTTCTCGCAACCGCACAAGCAACTCTAATTCTACTACAAAGCCCCTAAACAACACAATCCCTATATAATCTATCCTCCTAATCAAAATCTTCTCCTATTTGTGTTATAAGTTCGCCGGTACCACATGTCCTTTGCATCCATTACTGAGCAACATGTGCTCAATCGAACCACATCTGACCCCATCTCTTGCCATAAGTCCTCGGCTTAGAGCATCAACACTTTCGCCCTTCAACTGTATTGCAAATGGCTTGTCCTTTGGACATTGCCTTAAGCCATTGGAACTTCTCTCACCTCTAAAAGCATTTTACAGATAGCCTCTATCATAAAAAATAGAAGCATTTGATCTCATTCTCTATTTCTCATATATCTACAATCCTACGCACATTTGCAATCTACATTGTTCTATAGCAGCGAGTGCACCGATGTTCTTTTCCTACACCATGTTGACCTCAAGCATAATCTTCAATGACGCTCTCCATCAATACGTATGCCAATGCTCTTTATTGCTACCTCAATTCAAGGGGTTTCGTTGTGCTTTCTCGAGCATGGACATTGTTTCCACACAACCAACTCTTTGCATCTGATTCATGCTACTATCTCTTTCACGAATCTGTTGTACTCCTCTTGCAACACGCATAACTTGTGGGCAATTAAACCATAGTTTACATCATATTTAGTCATTGTTATTTCCAAATTTAAGCTAACATCTTCTATGCCACCTTGGGTTTGCAAATGAGGGTTACCATACCTAAGTTATCACATGCATTAGCTATTTATAGAAGGACTATGTATTATTTATTAATTTTATATTTCCTCATCATTGAGAATTCTCCTTAATTTCTTTTTTTCTTTATTATCTCTTCTCTTGCTCATATACAAACATATATATATCCTTGTGCTAAGAAGACAATACAACCTGATGTATTTCTTTCCAATTATCAAAATCTTCTAATCTAGATAAATTAATAAATGCATTATATGGAATCCAACCAAAAGAATTGGTGAGGAAATAGAATTGATGGACAAAGAAAATAAGTAAGAATTTGTCTAACTTAGACATCATGCATATCCAATTATCATGATAGAAGATATATAAGAAGGTTATACACAATGATCTTGATAGAAGATATCTTAACCGCAACCTCGACTACTATTTTAACATTATTGACAAAACATCTACCCTTATTATAACGAAAATTAAAAGAAAGCTAGGTAGCAAAGGCACCAAAGGATTACTGCTTAACGAAGCTAAAGCTTAAACAAGAGCCAATGTACTAGCAACTTTAATGTTCAAAGCACAACAATAATTTCATATACAAATTGAAATAGCAGATAAAAAATTAACTAAAAAAGATGAAACCCATAATATTCAGATAATTGATATATTAGAAAACAACAACAAATATAGGTACAGAATAGGCAAAAGAATACACAATCAAAGACAATTAGTAACCCATTATACCATTTTTTGTCAGGAATTCCCCCTCATTACGTCCTTTTCTCCATGTAAGTTTACTTCCATTAGATTCCGAATGACATGAGGCTTCCAAGGATTCTAAATCCAAAAAACAAATTGAATAACATGGTGATAGCTCACCAGTTACAGTACTTTTATGGGTCATGGGTGAATTTGCTTCAGCAAGCGATAGCGATCGAGTAAAATTAACATCGAGCGCAGCTGCATTAGAGAAATTCTCAGCTGAGTAATTCAATCCTTCAGCTCCGAACATAGGAGTTTCCACAAGCATACCAGTAGAAACCTCCATTTTGTTTGAAAACTGTGGTTCACTTTGCAATCTAACCTGGGCCTGGCTAAGATCTTCAGTAGAACGAGCTCTTTCAAACCTATCACAAGCATACTTTTCAAGGAAAATGCTCTCGTCAATCTCTACCCTTGCTCTTTCATGTACCATGGTACTATCTCCATGCTTTGAAAGTGAATCCACTGTGGAAGAAAAAGCTTCATCCAGCTCACTTGCAGCAAAAACTGTCCCATCAGAGGTACTCTTTTCAGACCCTGCGCTCAAATTTCCCAAAACTTTAGGTGCATGATCATGTTCCAAAGATAAAGTTTCCATCAATGGAGTTTCTTCTCCGAAAATACAAGAAGAGGGTTTTTCATGTAAAAGATCGCCAATAAGCTCTTCACCCATTTTTCCAGAAGACTTAACCAGGGAAGCATGCCCTGAAGTTATTTCAGAAAATAGTTCTAAAACATCATCAGCCTGGTCGCATAAGTCATTTACAACAGTATGAATCACCTTTTTGAAGTGTTCACCAACAGCATTGACATATTTTCCTGGATTCTGTTGAATTCAACAAGTCATCAACTAAAAGTTCAACAATTTTAAGGAGATATATTTATTTGAAAATAAAGTTACGCTTGAGGACTAAACACAATATTCAGGATTAAACTAGAATATATTTTAGAATTGCTTGTTATTGAAGAACGCAAAGAAAAAGTTTGCAAATGAAGCATCCGATAGCAAATGGTACAAACCTGAACCATGTTATTCTCTGTGCATATATTTTCAACTCTTTGGCATATATTTTCAGCCCAGGAAAATCCTTCAAGTGAAATCTTCATGAATTCTCCCAATGAAGGTTCACTATCTTGTTTCATGATGTCCAATATTACAGTCTATTCTGATGAAAGTTTTTTCCCCCTATCTTTGACACAATTGTTATTAGTTGCATACAAAATACATAATATGCAATATAATAACGAAACGTTTAGCATATAATAAGCAAAAAAAGGAAGATAGATAGACTAGAAGGCTTCACAACATTAATGACAAATTTGATATAATTAGAATAAAAGAACATTTTTCCCAAAAAATTACAATGAATGCATAAAAAAATTTAAATTTCCAGAGTTCTGTTCACCATTGTAAGACTCAATTCAATATAATTAACTTAACACTGGTGATCTCCAGTTCACAACCACCACTATTTGTTTGCCATCTTATCCTTCTACAAACTTCAACCCACCTGCCTGAACTAACCCCACCTTCCCTCCATCTACATTTCCACCACATAGAGAGACTACAGAAGACACCATTGTTGATTCCATGACCAGAACAGCCATCTACCATCAGCTCCCCTCCCTTTTCCTCCTCTATAACCACTCCAAAAGTTTCCCTGACCTAGGCCCATCAACAATCAGGTCTAATTGGGTTGGCATTGAGATCTCAATTAGACTTGGATCAGATTTCCAGTCAACTTAGAATCCCCTACTTTGTTAAAATGTACAAGCAACACAGCAAGTGATGAGGTATAATAATAAGCGTTTGCTATGTTTTGAACTAGGATGCTTCAGCACTTCAAATTATATGAACTTGCAATGTCTAACATTTACTGGACACAGCAAAGGTATATCAAATATTAAATCAAATTAATATATATCTGCTGATTTCGTTATGAGGGGACAGAGGATTTCAAGCATGACTTTCTCAATACCAAAGGGCAATACAATCCATAATACAACTCATTGGAAAAAAAATTCAATATTTTATTGTATAATACTTTAATGTTAAATTACTTTTCATAAAAGTAAAAGAACTTGTTGTTCATGATTTATTAACTATCACATTAGGATAGTATGATATCCCTATTAACTTTCATATTTGCTAGAGCCGTTTGGCAATATCATTTCTAAGCACATAATAGAACAACCTCCTTGTCACGGTTTTTTCAATTTCCTCTAAGAAAGAAGAATAACTACAGTTTTCAAAACCCCCGCCCCAAAAATCTCCAGCTATAAATTTTGTCATCAGAATGGAGTCCATCCATCCCCTTAGGTTCAAGTTAGCATCTTTATTCCTGGAAAAAGGCCTTATTTAAAAATAGAAAATAGAAACTACGAAGCACAGAGAATAGAAACGACAAAGAACATAATCAAACAAGCGATATTCAAATACAGAAAATTTGCCATTAAAAAAAAAGTCCAAACAAAAAGAACTCAAGTACTCGATACTACGTTAAAGACTGCATGCAACATAATACCTAGAAAGCCAAAAACCAAACGAGATTACCCCTTCAAGGCCTTGGACAACAAGAGAATACCAGAGCTCAAGAGAAACAAAGAGAAACCGAACGAGCTGTTGACGAAAACAAGAAAACCCACGGATGAAAAAGAGATGAAGGAATCTTTGAGAGGACATGGATCACTTACAGGAAGAAGGAAGCTGCGCCAAAGAAAGAAAGTTCGCGTGGAAAAGCTAAATTATCGGCGGACGGCAGTGGTGAAGGCCAGCGGGGCCTCTGCCCGCAATTGTGCATATATGTAAATAAATTTATATCCTAATTATTTGCGTGATGAACAAAAATAAAAAATTAAAAAAAAAAAATTATTCAAATTACCAATACCGACCACCCGTTACGAATACGAAGTGAAAGATACCTTTATTAGAATATTGAATGTGAATTATATTAAAATAGATTTAAAGATTATTAAATTTATTTTAAATTAAAAAAATATATACAAAAATAATACATAATTTTAATATATTTATATAGCGAACACTTAAAGTTTGATATTTACTTATATAATATTTTAGTGCCTCAATTACATCTAAATATTTACATAAAAAATGTGTATTTTACTTAAAAAAAGTAATACAAGTGGCTATTCTAATTGCTACAAATAAATTAAGCATTCTATGAATTACTTTATGGGAAGCTAATGTATATTTAAATTAAATAATAATTAATATTAATTTATTTACAATAATAATTTAATTCATTTTTAATTTAATTTTCTTCCAAATCTAATAATCTAAAGTTGCCTTAAGGCTCTAAAACATGAACTCCCCTATTTTCCCTTATGACTCTAAAATCTAACCTAATAACCCAAACCCTCATCTTTCTCTCCCATGATATTTTCTCCTAAAATCCCAAAACCCTCCGGCACAAAGACGCGAGAAATATCAGTGACTAGTGAGATCCAGCTAAAGAATACATCGACAAGACCATCGGTATATGAACAAAAAAAGTAATTTGTGGGACTTTACAAGTGACAGAATTAATGTGGAGAAGGCACATCGAGATCATATTAGAGAAGCTTTGAAGGGATCAAAGGCATGTAAATAAGAAGAGGAGTTCATGAAAATGGCTAATTTTGCTCTTGAAGATATTCTAAACATTTTAACCCAACCACAACTATGTGTCTAGGATTTGCTAACATAGATGCAGATTATTTCTTGCTAAAAACTACTATTGTGATTTCACAATTCTACCTTCTTATTATTTGTTCTACAATAATAAGTATTTTTCATGCTTTGACTTGGTTGGTCAACCACTTAAGAAAGTTCAATTGGAAAGCATTAAGTGAGGATTGTTGACCATTGGAAATGGGTAAACAACATTATTAATAAAATTATATTAATTTTATAAAAAATATAGAATCATAGCTTCATCCCAAAAGATTGAAGTATAGTTAATGATGATAAGTTGAATACTTTATGGATATTATTTTAGCACATTTAAGACAAAAAAAAAATCATGTTACATTTATGAAATTATCATTTTCACATTAAATTATTTTTTTTGTGCTAATTAGATAGGCATAATGATATTTTAAATATTACATATTTTTAATGTAGTATCATCATGATATAAGAGGCTATATGATACATACCCCAATTTTTTTCTAAACATGAAGTAGTTACTTGTTCAAGCATGATTATTCTATTGATCATTTATTGATAAATGGCAACATGGAAATTAATCAAAAAAAACTTTTAGTAACAAAAATGTTATTTCCACCTCTAGACTTTTAGTAAGATGTAGATTTATTATTTTAAAGGTTTTTAAAGATATTTTGGCTATGGTTTTAGTAAATTAGTGTCACACTTTTACATATTTTTATTATATTTAGTAGTTAATATATTCAAAGAGGATAAGATTATTTGATTTTTTATAATTCAAAATTATTATTGAGAATAATTTGAGAATAGTTTATTTGAAAAAAATTATAAATTAAGTTTTTATTTGGGACAATTTTCTTACTGCTTTTAAAATAATTTTTTAGCATCAAAATTTTTTGAATGAGAAGTTTTTATACTAAAAAGTTACTTTAAAAAGCTTAAAAAATACAATCATAAATAAAACCTAAATTTAAAATTCTCCTGAATATGCCAACAAAATAAGGGTTTGTATCAGAACTTTCTTATTGCTTTAATTTTTAAAAGCAATCACAATTTTATTAAGCTAATATTTTCTTAATGTACTTCAAAAAAATTTTATGATAACAAAATATATTTTATACCCAAAATTGCTAAATTACTTTTCCCACTTTACAATCAACTTCTTAAAACAGCCCCTAAATCTTATCAATTTGATTTATTGAATTAAAGTATTCACTCTCTATCTCACCGAATTTTAATTAAACATCGTTCGAATTCAAAGATTTGATAAATCTTTGGGAAAAAGGGTTTTAGGGATTAACGAATTTAGGTTAAAATCGAATTCAAAGATTTAGATTTTATTTGGGACAATTTTCTTATTATTTTAGACAACGACTTTCTTGCTCAAAGATTTTATAAAAACAATGAACAAACAATAAACAAAAAAATGCCCCAAACTAAGCCTTAAATTTTTTTTTTAATCTTTGGGAAAAAGGATTTTAGGGATAAAGGTATTTAATTAAGTTAAAATTCAAAAAATTATCAATAAGCTTATGTTCAAATCTATGGGTGCAAACAAGAACTAGAGTCATCCTCAACTTAAACTTTAATTTGCAATCAAATGCGAAATTGAGCTAAAGCTTAATTATATAAGTTTGAGTCAATTCATGAACCAGCTCTTTTATCATAAAAAGGAAAATCTTTCTCATTCAAGCAATTATTATAACAAAATAATAAATTAAATAAAAAAGATCAAAATCACTTTTTATAGGAAAGAAAATATAACTTCAAATGTTTTTAACATTTCTATACTAAATTTATCAAATTTTTATGTTGTTTGAGTGTATTTAATATTAACATTTTTTTAACAAGCTAGCTCTTAAGCTAACAAGTCGAGTCGAGACTAGCTTAAATTTGACTTATTAGCTCATCAAGTTTGTTCATGAGCTATTTATCAAATAAATTTGAGTTGACACACGAGTTTGAAATTTTTGTACTAAAAACCTGCTTTAGAAAACAATAAAAAAACCGTTGCAAACCAAGCCTCAATCATGCCCCTATTCACATCCATGGCACTTCAAAACTTTACAGCAAGTTCTGAAGCATGGCGGTGCTAATTGATACATTGTCACGACTCCTCACAAACATTATAAGAAAAACAGCATAAAATTATAGATATTATCATAATAAGAAAGTAATAATTTTTTCCAAGTTCTTGACAGCTACATAGTTCCACCCATGGGAAGTACAGAGGATGGGGAAGATAAGGATGATTTTCTTTTGCAAAATTGAATGAATTTGACTTACATTCAGATCAAAATGTACAGAAGAATGAATCCTCCGCAGAGAACTATCATGCTTGCCCTCCAAATGTGCTACATCAATGATCATTAACATCTTTCAGAAGTGCCCCTTGAAACGGCTGTAGATCAAACATAATCTGATAACCTGATCAGGTTGAAAACAGTAAAGAACTGTATGATCAATCAGAATCAGAAGTTGAAGTTGGACCAGCTGAACAAATGTCCTTTTTATGGAGTTCCAACATCTTCTTTTCAGGATTGCAAAGCCCTACATGACGAGTTTCAATAACGGTTAGTTCCTATATTGAACAAATATTATATCCACTTAGTACTCGAATATAGTCGAGCATAGAGCTTATAGGTTTAAAATGAATAAAGGTTGGTAAATATGCAAATTAAACTTTTCTTGGAAGGAATAAATTAGTTATGCATAAACATGACGTAAATATTTACATCTTAAATTAATAGTAATAACAAAAAATATTAAAAGCTGCGAGGCAGACTGTCCAGCGAAAATTGGGATTCCAAATAATGGTGTGCTGGATTCGGAAAACACAAAATCAACATAAACTGTCTGATGTGAAACAAACAGGAGTTACTTAAGAAATTAAAGAGAGCACATTAAGAAAATAATTCCACAATAAAGTTATTACTTATAACAAAGATTGGTCCTCGGAGTTCCTAGTCTTTAACTTGCTTTAGGCCAAGAAGAGCAAAGTCGATTAACCAAACAATTCAAGAAAACACAAAGAGTAATTATAAAGCTACGACGATAAACAAGAATCCATGATTTAATAAGGAAAACTTTCACCTTTGGAGCTCATACGCTCAAATAGTCTAGGCTTTAGCGGAAGAAGAGTCTCCGCATTAGAATCGAGGTCACTCCGAGGAAGAAGGAACCTAGGATCGTCGTTCTTGGATAGGTGGCCAGAGTGGTGGAGGATGATTGTCGTCCAATGATGATCCAACGTCCCTTTGACCTTTGCTCGTCGATCACGTCAACTAAGGTATAATGGATACGGTCGATGTATTCTTCAACGGTGTCGTCGAAATCAAATCTCACGTCAAAGAATGGCGATTGGAGAATGTCGACTTGATCTCGATCATCATGCACAAATCCAAAGTTCCATTCGGGTTCCAACATGCATCCTTGTCGGGAGATGAAGGAGCACCGTTGGAAACCAAGGGAAGAGGAGGGATGGATGTGGCGGCTAGACTGAGAGATCAAGAGAGAAAATTTCATGAATTCTGAAATTATTTCAGGTTTTGGGTGAGAGGGAAGGGATTAATTGTGAATTTCAAATTGAATCCCATTAAGGAGGGGGGCGGCAATGAGGGGAGGGATTTGGGGCTGATTTTGTGGGGAATTGGAGTTAATTAGGGAGAGAGGAGCCCATGAAGGGGGCCGACCACATTTGTAGGAGAGGGGGGCTTGAGTTTTGGTTAAGTGGGGACCACAATATTAATTACAGATTTTACAAAAATCTGAAATTAAATTTCAGTTTTCTTAAGGGGAGAAAACTTCCTATTATAGAGACAATCAATTGAATCAATTTGAATTTCAAATTCGAAATTGAAATTCAATTAAATTGATTGCATAAATTAGGGAGTCAAATTAGAAAACATTTAATGGCTCATGAAACTTTGGAATTTCAAATTTGAAATTCAGAGGAGGAGGAGGAGGAGGGGGGGTGCAGTTAGAGGAGGGTGGCAAGGGACGGCCACGGTGTGGGGGTTTGGCCGGCGGTCTGGGCGGGTTAGGGGGGAGGCGGCGGCAATGGCTGTAGGCGGGTGGCTGGGCTACTGCTGGCCGACGGTTTGACAGGGAGGGGTGGTGGAAATACTTGGAGGATGAGGTCGTAGGAAGGAAGCTTAAGAAAGAAAATATCACGGATGGATTTGCCTTGACTTCTCACACAAATTGATCACAATACAATGGGGGGAGAGGGTCTAGAACTCACAAAGAGATCTAGCTCTTCCCAAAACTCACTAAGAGATTTGAGAGAGAGATGAACTCACAAAGAGAACACAAAGGAAATTTTCATTTCATCAAAAGCTAACTCTTACATAAGAAAATGGCCATATATATAGGCCTCAAAACGACCAAGAAAACAAAAAACTAAAATGCCCCTGGGGCTACAGTAGCGACCAAATACCCATAAGGCCAAAAGCGGAAAAACATAAAATAAAATAAACTACTACATAAAATGACTAAAAATACAACTCATGATCGTGGCCGTCGATCTCCGGCATCTCCTGATGGTACATGTGTCGAAATCGCTGACAATGTCCTCATCACTGTCATTTGAAAAACATAAAATTGAAGTTATTATGAATGAGAATAAACAAGTGAAAATTTTGATCACATACTTCCGATGAATTTGCATTTACCTGGGTTGCAATTGGTTTTTTTTTTTTTATATATATTTGTTCAAATATTAAGATCTTGACGAAATTCCATAAGAACACTGCTCTTTTACCCTCAAACATTGCATGCCGTATTAAGGCTTATTTGTCCTATGTTCCATGTCAATTAATCAACACTATCCCCATCCGATCATAAACATGGAAGAAACAACATATCTAGGGGTGTCAATATTTGACACGGCCCGAAAGCCCGACCCGAACCCGAAACGGGTCGTGTTTGGGTTCATAAAATCGACCAGTTTCAAAAATTGGGTCGGGTTCGGTTTGACCCAGTAACCCGTTTTTAACCCGAAAATCCAAGATTGACCCGCTTTTGACCCACTTTTGATCCTAAAATCGGAGATTGACCCATTTTTTTACCTGAAAACTAGCAATTTTTTGTTTGTTCCGGGTCATTCGGGTCGTGTCAGGTTGACCTGGACCTGAAGCGGGTCGGGTTCGGGTCCGAAAAACCGACTCGTTTGCTGAAACATGTCGATTTTGGGTTTACCCGAATAGTGTCGGGTTAGTTTCAGTTCGACCCAAACCCGACCCGTGACCCGAAATTGACACCCCTAAACATATCCTATGATTGTTAGAAACTTAACCGGCTCCTGCAGTGCGTACTAATCATGATTGCCACAGAATTTAATCACGTGGTGGATGGAATCATAAGCCCATATGTCAGTAAGATGCTCAAAGAACTATGCAAATAAAAGAATTTAGTAGCCGAACATGCCTAGTAAGGCCAGGTAGAGAGAATACGGTACGTGGGCCCAAAACCAACCAATCTATCATGACGAAGCCATGGCCAGGGGAAACCTACACAAGCTTGGGGATCTGAACTTCCTTCCCAGTTCACAAGTTCTTTGTAGGCAAGGCCAGCCCATTAATCCACCAACCAATGGATTAGACCTAGTTATAACAATCAAAGCCCAGGACATCCCCTACCGTTTTATAAACATTAATTTGCAAAGTTACATTACTAAATCTCATCGGATCCAAGTATTCAGAATCTATATTCTGCGTGTTTGTTTTCAGTGATTGATTGATATCAACATCAAAATTAAGCTTAACAAAGCTAAGATCGAGTAAAAGCTCATGTGATTCACCAACAAACAGTAGGATTGTGCAAAATGTAATTTTGAGTCAATCCCATCTTGGCCAAGATCTCAAAAGCAATTCAACTCGATCTCGAGCAGAGCTAAGCCTAGCTATAGCTTGGCTCAATCCATTCTCATAAGAGCTAGTCTTGATTCGTTTATTTTGATTTGAGATCAAATTTAGACAAAAGTTTCTTCAATTTATATTGATTTTTGAACCAGCAGTCATCGTTATCATCAATAGTCTTATCCCAACCATATGGAGCCAGCTTTATGAATCAAAATTTTCCATTCATTTGTGCTAACTATTGTCTAAGATGTTAATTCTATTCTTGAATAATTCTTTTGAACATCTTTTATACATGTTATCTTTAGTTTCTACTCTATTGACACTAATTTTATTTCCTATTTATAAAGTAATTCCTATCCTTCATTGTAGATGTCCAAACAACAAAGTCTATTTTCTATTATCTTATTGTCCATAAAAATTACTTTAACCATTTTTTTAATATAATCATTCCTTAGTTTATCCATCCTAATTTTCACACATCCAGCTTAACATTTTCACTTATGTCAATGAGTTTATAATGTCCAATACATGGATCCATATGCTCAACTTTTGTTTTACTAATTCCAAGTCCTCTATATTCTAAACATTTTCTCAATTGTTTTAACCTTTCACATATTTTAATGGAAGTAACACTAATTAGAACTATTTCATTTGCAAAAAAACACACATCACACACTTACTTTAAATATCTGTTACAATTAGCATCATAAACAATACAAAAAATACATAAAATTAATGATGATCCTTAATGTATTTCTAATATAATTGAAAAATCTTTGATAACTCAAGCAGATACACTATATATATATATATATATAAGTTAGCCAAACTAAGAGATACGATTTTTTTCCTATTGGTAGATTGACGATCTCCCATGTTTTGTTCTTCTCCAGGGCCTGCATTTCATCATTCATGGTATTTTTTCAATTTTTATCAGATAAGGCCTCAGAAATATCTTTAGGAATATGGATATCTTCTAATGTAACAAAGAAATTTTTGTGTGACGATGAGAAGTTGTTGAAGGATATAGAGTTGTTTATAGGGTATAAGGGAGGTGGTGAGCTTACCTTATTTCCAGGAGATGGTTCAGATTCTTGGATCTGCTTTGGAGCACAGCTTGAGCTTGTACGTTTGGAGTAAACCTTTCCAAATCTAATGATAGCTTTGTCATTTGTTTCCCTAACTTGGGTTTCAGGAGGATTGTTTTCAAGTGGTGGAGGAAGGTCAAGAGGTTCTAGTTCACTTTCCTCATCTTCCTCAAGTTCAGTCTCCCCCTGAAGATGAGTTTTTGAAAAATAAAAATTTTGCTCATCAAAGGTAACATCAATAGAGACAAAGGTTTTTCTTGTGGGTGGATGATGACATTTATACCCTTTTTTGGGTAGCTGAATAGCCAACAAAGATGCATTTGAGTGCTCTTGGATCTAATTTTCCTCACTCCTGGCTATGAATATGAACATAGGCAGTGCATCCAAAGATTTTGGGTGCAAGATTATGATGGGTTCGAAACTCTGGGTAAAAAGAGGACAAGATCTCTATTGGAGTTTTGAGGCCTAAGGCTGTTGAATGTAATCGGTTTATGAGATACGCTGCAGTTAAAAGAGCTTCCCCTTAATAGAATTTGGGTGTATTGTAGTGAAATAGGAAAGCTCGGGTGGTGGCTAGAAGGTGACCATTTTTCCTCTCTGCAACCCCATTTTGGGGTGGAATGTGAACATATGATGACTCATGAATGATCCCTTCACTCTGGAAGTAGGAGGAAAGGGTTTGGTTGAAATAATCTTTGGCATTATCAGAGCAGAATCTTCGTAATTTTGTCCCGAATTGATTTTGGATCATGGAATGAAAGATGTGAAGAATGGTGCTAACATCAGATTTATTTTTAAGGAGATAGATCCAAGAGACTCTAGTGCAATCATCAATGAAAGACACAAATCAGCGTGCCCCAGAGATATTGGGGATTTTTTAGGGTCCCCATATATCACTATGAATAAGGTAGAAAAGAGTGTCACATTTCTCACTTTTGTTTGGGAATGAGGTTCTTTTATGTTTAGCCAACTCACAGGTTTCACAATGAAAATTTTTATTTTCTGAAAAAATTGTGGATACATGTCTTAGAATATCAAAAGATGGATGTCCTAGTCTATAATGATGAAGCCAAATAGTTGAATTCTTATTGACTAGGGATAACATAGAGCAACTATTTTTAGATTGGTTTGGTTCTCCAGGTAGTACAATCATGCTTTCTCCTTAGCAAGTCCAATCTTCTTCTCCGATCTCTGGTCTTGAAATAAGCAATAAGTAGAGTTAAATAAGGCTTGACAACTATGATCATTGGTAAGTTTTTTTATTGATATTAGATTTGTGGATAATTGTGGTACGTGGAGGACATTTTTCAGGGTGAGTGACGGAGATAATATGATGTCTCCTTAGCCAGCTACCGTGGTAAGAGAACCATCAACAATGATGATTTTCTTGTTATTTGGACAAGGAGTATAGTTTATGAGGTGGGTAGGTGAGTGGGTCATGTGATCTGTGGCTCCTGAATCAATTATTCATAATTCCTTTAGATGATTTCTGGAAGCACTTGAACTGAAAGAAATTGGAGTCTTACCTGAGAGTGCAAGTGAAGAAGAAGCATTTGGTTTTTCAAGAGATACCATGAGTCGTTTTAATTTATCAATATCTTCTTTATTGAATTCTCCAAGGCTGAATTATGCTTCTGGCTTACTTGTACTGTTGTTGGCATGTGATGTGCTCCTTGTTTCACCCTTTTGATTCCACTCATTGCTGGGGGGTTTTCCATATATTTTCCAGCACATTTCTTTTGTGTGTCTTGACTTTTTGCAATAGATACACCAAAATGAGTCCTTGTCTTTGAACTTTGAAGAATCTTTACCCTTCTCCTTCCATGAAGATTCTTTATTCATCACCATTGCTGAGCTTTCAATTGCCTTCGGTTTTAACATCACTCCTTGTCGGCTTTCTTCTACGCGGATGAGAGAAATGGTTTCATTGAGTGATGACGTCTCCTCCTTGCCAAGAATTTGAACCCTAACTTGGTCAAATTCTGCATTTAGTCCTGCAAGAAAATCATAAACTCTATCTCTTTCAATAAAATTCTTTAGGATCGCAACATCTTCCGGACATCTGGTTTCTATGCACCTATAGTGATCAAGTTCTTGCCACAGATTTTGTAGAATGGTGGCATACTCCATCACGGTCTTACTCCCTTGCTTTGTGCTTCCAACTTTGATTTTAATTTCAAAGATTTGAGCCGCATCTTGAGCTTTAGAGAAGGTCTGTTTGGCAGCATCCCATATGTCCTTTACGGTCGAAGGAACATAAATGTATCACTAATTTCTGAAGTCATGGAATTTCACAACCATGACATAATCATGGAGTCTGTTTCATCCCATGCCCCAAATTTAGGATCACCTTCTTTTGGTCCTCCTCTAAGGAGGTGATGTACTTTCCCTTTCCCCTTCAAGTAGGTCCTCACAAATTGAGACCACTTTAAGTAGTTCTTTCCATTTAGGCGATAGGAATGTTGCATGCTTTGAAGGTCACCTCGTCCTTGGTGCACCATCGACTCCTCCATTTGGTCAATACTTTGGGAGGAATTGATTTCTGACATTATGATAGTGATTAAGACTATCTACCTTGGTTAGCAATGAAGGCTTCCCGGAATAAATTTCCCTTGTCAACAATAAAGGTCGATAATAAGGATTTTTTTCTTTTTATATATATAAAAAACGAACCGTCCAAGCCTTAAAGAAGGCTCGGTTTAGACTTAGGGCACGGGACGGTCTTCTCCACCGAGCAGGAGCCAGCGACAGAGAAAGGACTCGCTTGTGACGAGTCGGTCTTCTCCACCGAGCGGGGCTGACGACGTTCCTTCGTCAAATTGGAAGTCGCGAAAAATTAGCCAGTCTTCCGGTTGGATCGGACGTAGCGACGGGAGCTTGCTCGTGCGATTCTGGCAGCAAGACGGAAGAGGGACTTCGTGCGGTATCCTCCTCTCTCACTCGATCGGCCGATACCTGCTTGCAGTCCTCTAGTCGAGCAGCGAAGGGTCGGACTCCTTCGTCTCGTTCTTGGATGTTCGACTATCCTCCTTTGACGACTTGTCCTTCCTGTCGGATCGGAAGTTTGGATCGGGACTTCCGCTTTGTCTCAGCTTCCGTCTTTGGCGTGTGGGGTCGGCAGCGATGCTCCGATTTTTTTTCTTTTCCTCCTCCGATGATCTAAGATCGTTCTCGGACGACAATTAAGGCCGTTGGCTCTGATACCATGTTAATTTGAGAGCAACGAGAGGGAAAAAGCTTAAATTTTATTATGCAAGCTACTCCTATTTATAGATCTATACAAGGTGTATTGATAAGGAAACAAATAATTCTAGAATAATGAGAATACAATCATTCCTAAATCAATAAATCAACTATGGAAGGAATTAATGTGATCCAGGCGATCTTCCCACGGATTACTGTTCACAGCCGTGGATTCTCTTTGGATCGTGAGGTTGAGATTTAACAATGGATTTCAAAATTTTTAGTACTTTTGCAAAAAGAATATGGTATAATATCAAAACAAGGTTTGCTAGATTAATACAAAAGTTACAAATTGGAGTTGGACAATAACTTGGTGATTACAAGAGTTATTAAGTAGTATAGCAAACCTAATTGTTTAAGAAACAAATTCACAAAATTATGACTTATTCTCAAGATTAGCCACATTTTCTACAAAATTCAAGATACTCAAAAAAGAAAAAAAAAAGTCTAATAGATTACGTGAAGTGCAAAATGTTTCCAGAAAAAAAAAAAAATCATTGAGCAGATCTTCAAAATGTGTAATGCAAAAGTTTTGGAATCTTGAATACTATAAACCTTGAAATTATCATCAATGGATCAGCTTAATCTACTCCGAAGTAGGATACCTTACTTCTGTAGTGCACTAAATCTTATGTAGAACCTTGTCTGGAGATTCAATAATTCGCTTGTGTTAACTTTTAAAGACCAACTAATTTATCATAAACATCCTTCTTTTATCAATTAAAATATTCGCTGCAGTGGAGTGAAAATTAGCTTCAAATACAGCCCTCTACAATGGCAGAAAATAATGTTGAATACCATAAGTTCATAATCAAATCTGATCCTTCAGCAGGGTATATGACCATGACTTTTAAAAGGCATTGAGTTGGTAGTTATGTAGCCTATGGGAAATCAATCAGAACTGGCTAACGATCCAAATGCAAAAAACCAACTTCATGCACTCTAATTGTTTCTAAATCATCATAGTCTAGGTATGCTAGAGTGTTTACTATCCAACCATAAAGCTACAACTCTCAATACCTCTGTGTTTGCTATCAATACAAATGCACAATAGAAACTAAGAATCTAGATTGCAGATTTCCATCATGTAAATAAATTGCCATTCCAGATGGATTTAAAGATTGGTTGAACAGGAAGTCACCTGCCAGAAAAATTTAAGCACAAGTAGAAATTGCTGGGTTGTTTCCTTTCCAAATGCATTTAAAGATTGGCCTAACAGGAAATCAACTTCTAGATAAAACTTGGGTACATTTATGAATGCGCCTAATCAACATCAAAAAGGAAGTTGACATCTTTTTAACAAGAGGAAAAAGAGCTAATGCATTTATTGCTCAGATAAAGCCAAAGGCTACTAGCATGAATTATTTTTTAAGAAGACTTTTTAGAAATTATGTTTTGAACGAACCTGAGCACCTGGGAATATCCCAAACAGCAATGGATGATGGAGTACAGTTTGGTGAACAGAGCGCTCTGTTATCCTCATGATTGACATTCATCGCAAGCATCCAAGCCCCAAGTGTAACATCTTCATTGCTGAACATGCGAAAACTGCCAAAAATAGTTTTATATCAATAATTTTTCATTTTGGAAGATAAACTAGGGCTATCAGTTACAGAAAGAAAATGCAATTTGCCTACTAAAAAACATGAACTCTTCGTATAACTATTAATTACAAATAATAACTTCTGAATGCGAGCACAGAAGTGAGTTTTCTATTCCTTCTTTCATAACTTTCATAAATTTCATTAGATTGAAATGAAACTTGTTTCTATCTGTTCAGAAGAAAAGGTCTTTGTATGTCTTATTGACTGAAAATAGTTACAAATAGGATAGGGGTATAAAAAGGAAAAAAATAAGGAGAATATTCACATCAATGGGGATATAAAATCATATATCACCTTTATAACATATTCTCTTTGATCTTTCCTAACACTACTTTCTTAATATCTTAACACTCCTTTGAAAGCATATACATTTATTAGCTCCAACTTGTTCAATAAGAAAAAAATTGATGGTGGCATGATTGACATAGTAAAGTGTAGGCTGAGTGGTACGAAAACCAAACTCTCCTAAAAGGTTTACTATCTTCATCAATCATTTCACAAACCGGGTGGGCCACAACTTTCAATCTATCCTCTGCACTAGAACTAACAACGATAGTTTGTTTCTAACTTTTTCAGGTAATCATAATACCTCCAACAAAATGTAATATCCTGAAGTAGACTTCCTACAGTGAACTAAACAAGTATAATACACATTCAATAATACTTGATCATTCAACTGCCGAATTATAGTATTTAAAACAATCCATTTTTAGAAGATTTTTTGGTATATCTTAGAATTATAGAACAATTTACAAAACTTCTTCTTAATATTTTTGCATGTGCTGACTAATAACACCAACGTTGAATGAGATGTGATGCATGATAACAAGCATATAAATCAACTCGTCAACTAACCGTCAATAATTAGATTAGTTATAAAGTAGCTCTTTCATCAAATGTGGTTTGAGTCTCTATAAAAGTTTGATTTGGCTTTACTCCAAGGCCGGCACTTTCTTTAAGAAGATCGATTTTTTTTTACCTTTGAGATAGTGATACCTCTATTTTTATAAGAAAACTCACTCCAACAATATACTTGGGTCGTCCCCAAATCTTTAGTAATAAAAAATATTTTTAGGTGATAAATTATCATAGGTATGTTGTTATGATAACTTCAGATGAGTAATAAGCCATTAATATAAACAACTATGACATCATGAGGTAGTATGTCTTATGAATGTTATTGCGAAGACCAATCTTAGCAAGGACATTGCCAAAATTTTCAAACTAGGCCCGCATACTCTATTTAAGGCTATAAATCATCTTCATGAGTAGATTTAAGGACATAAATAACCTTCATGAGTAGACATATGCAATTCTCCGCTTGAGCAATATATCAAGGAGATTGTTCGATAAAAACAACTTCATGAAGATCATCATAAAAGAAAACATTACTCACGCCTATTTGAAGCAAAGTCGAATCTACACTGATGGCCATAAAAAGGAAACTTCTAAGCACAAAACTAGGAGGACATGTCCAAATAATTTTTCCATTTTGTTCGACATTTGATAAGTAGATATTAGATATATCCTTAGCAAATGTATGTCTAGTCTAATCTAACAACGTGGATGGATGTCTTGCAATGAAGGAGGTCAAGGCCATCATGATTAAACTTGAAGTGGCTGAAACATAACAAGAAGAGTTTCTGGAGAAAGAGGAACATGAAGTGAAGATGACTTTGAGGGGTCAGAAAAGAAGTGTTTAATAAAATGAAAAGTGACCTTGGCCAGGATATGTAAAAAACATATAAGGGGACCAAAACAACAAAATTTTTTTGTGTGAGAATGCCCCAAAAACATACATCGAATGGCACAAGGAAAGAGCATCTCATATAATCAAATCGCATGAACAAAGAAGCAAACATAACCAAATATTTGTAGAGTTAGAGAAAATGGGGTTGGTTGGGATACAAAATAGAGATATGTGAAAAGTTATCAAAGAGAGGGGATAGAACCCAATTAATGAGATAGCAGCCAATCAAAACTGCATAATGCCTTAACTATCAAGAAGCATTAAAGTTTGAGCAACATAAAGTAGATGGTGTTTTTTGCATCCAATCAAACCGTTCTATTGAGATGTACAAGGTTAAATAACTGATAAAATTGTCAAAACATAAAGTTTGAAATAGAGATTGCATAAAATTTAGAGCATTGCTATTGCGTGAAGTTTTGATTAGTGTAGATAATTGAACTTTTATTTTTTGAAAAAAAATGTTTGAAATACATTTAGAACTTCTAATCGACATTTGAGTAAGTAGACTGTAGACCCAAGTAGACCAGAACTAAAAACAAATGAATATGACAAAATACCGAAATCCCAGGTGAGTGAGAATCACACTAGAGCCCTGATGTAGCATATCAAATAGATTAATCAAGTCAAGTTAAAGATCCAATTATAAAAAATCATGCCTAAATACCAAACAAGAGATCAATGAAAAGGCTTAATTACAAAAATATTCACAAGAATCTATGAAAAAAACCAAAATTAAAATTTTTAAAAATATTAAATCTTGAAATAAGTCTCAGACTATTTGAATGTGACCAATTTAGTCCCAGAGTATCACATTTCTCCAATTCAGTCCTCCAAAAAAATGAAATTTTTAAAAAATGATCCATCGTATAAACATTTTGAAACACAATTAATCCTAACTTGGCCCCACTTCTATATAAAATTAATCTTGATTTAGTACCGGAGGGATTGTTTTGGATTAATTTTATATAATTAAAAAATAAAATTAGAAAAATATGATATTTTGAGACTAAATTGGCCACATACAAATAGTTAGGAGGCCTTTTTGGAATTTAAATCATATTTATAATATAATTTTCCATTTTTAAAATTTCTGCATATTCTCTCTTGGGACAATGTATGGTTGGCCCCATTATGGGTTAGTATGGATAATTGCATGCATTTAATGATATTTCAGAACTCTTCCTTGCATTAAGTGGTCAACCACCCCATTTTCCTTCAAACATTTTCTCCTTTTATATTGTAATGTGGTAGCGCACAGATCATGTATTGCCTATATAATGGGGTATTATTCAATTAAAAATTTTCTAGTGAATGATTAAAGTGGTCTAGAGAAGTTCATTCTATGTTGGTTAGTACTAGGTGGCTTAGCTTGACTTTTGGTGGTATTAGTTGTTTCTCTTGTGAGTTCTTGTTATTCCTCTCAATATCTCTTCTAAGCCTCTCCCACATCATCCTTTATATCATAACCATTACCTAAGACCAGTCATTCACTAATCAAGTTCTTAAAACCACTTCAAAACCTTCATTGAAGTTGTCCACCAAGCTTAGGTAAACACCTACCTAGTCTTATTCTCAACTTTATAGGTCCTAAAATCGTATAAAACTTCATCTAAATCTATAGATCAAAACTATGCATCCTAACATACCTATCCACATCCATTTCCTTCCATTTATCCTCATAAATGGAGGGAACTAAAGAACTAAACCAAATCATCCCGAACTAGCCCATTTTAAGCTAATTTTGGTTCTTTCACTATCTTACCCATCAAAGATCATACCAACTAACCAAAAACTCCAAATCACAATCTCATACTCACAATAAAACCAATTACCTAAAGAATTAAAACAAATCAACTCAAACTAGCCCAACCTAAACTAACTTTGATTTTTCCACCATCTTATCCTCAAAGACTATAGCAACTCACCATAACCTCCAAATCATATCCTCATACAATAAACTAATTAACCACAACTATTTATAACCACCAATCCACGTATAAGGCCTCCCAATACCACTAGACCCTAAATATTTTATGGTCAAGATTAAAAAAATGACACTAATGACTAGCTGGGAAGATAGTAAATAACACAATGTTGTATGTTGAATTTATGGGTAGGACACTCAAACTTGGTAAGCAAAGAGGAGAAAAAAATTAATCTTGAATTCTATGAAGAAGAGAAATAGAAAATTCCAATGATACGAAGTAGTGGTGAAACAGAGGGTATAAGGAGCATTAGTGGTCAAGTAGTAGGTGTCGTCGATTTCAATATCTCCACTAATTGTGTTCCTCGTTAAAAAATTATGACTCTTGTTATGATAATGAATAAACATCAAGTTGACAAGAAAATGTGGAGCACATAAGATGTACAAAGTTCTCTTAAAAAATAAGAAAAGGGGAACCAACAACAGCAATAATAGATAGTAAAGATGATATGTGAAGGGTAAATATAGAAGGTGATTAATTTTCAAATGAAAAGGATAATATGAATCTAAAACTCAAGAATACCAACAAAAGCAGACGCAATGAATACAGAAGAAGAGACGATATAAGAGATAAAGAGAATATTTTAGTAGTTGATCATAATTTTCTATAGATATAATAACTAATCCATAATATAAGGCATTAGGTGGGATAAGTGGAGTCGAACTGGATGTGGAAGCATACTAAGCAGTGGAGAGCTAGCTGAATCTTTCTCAGCAACATTTAGGATGATGCCTAGTGTAGTTGCAATGAGGATGAAGGGAAAAAGTATTCTAGCCATGGCTTCAATTAGTCTTACCACTACATCCATGACTACCCTGGATAAGACTAGACACAATCATTAAAGCTACTTGATCAAGAGCTGGTGAGAAAGAGGAAGAGAGTTAAGTGATGAGAAGAATTCCAGAGAGAGCAGTCAAAATATAAAGCTTAGCAAAGTTTGCTAAGCTGGCCAATAATTGAAATTCTTTGTTTTGCTTTTGCCAAATAGTTAGTCAATTCTGAAAGGGCAATACTTAAGTAACTCGTCATATTTATCACTCAGAGTGTTATAGTATTCTTGAATTTATAGGTCATTTTTGTTGGGGGGAGAAGATCTTGAAGTAAAGAGTAAACCTGAGAAATATTTCTCCCTTGAAAGTAGGCGGAACAAAGAAGTTTCGTGTCTTCTTAGTTGAACTTGAAACATAACTAATAAGACAATTGAAGGTATCAAAATTATGTAAGGGCAGTACAGTTAGATGCTTGACACTTAAAAAATTTGATAGCATCACTATTGTTTGGAGGGCATGCGTTTAAGATGAAAAGGAATTTGTCATGAGAACCAAAAAAAAATAAAAGTCCCTTAAGCACAAGAAATAATTGATACAATTAAATTTGATTATTACATTGATAGGGCATAAGGGATTTGAATCATTGAGAAATATTTATGACGTTATGACACAGTTTGAGAGAAAATAGTTGGAGAAGGGAATTAACTTAGATTATGATAAATGAGCAAGAGTGCACTTAGGGTAATTGGCTAGTTGTGCAATGCATGATAAGCAAGAGGCAAAAACAAGGTCTTAGATCAATAAAGTCCAAGCGTAATCACACAAGCCCATAATAGCATGAGCAAAATTGAGCATATTGATGAAAAACAATAGGGAGGTGGTGAAGGTACGCATGAGTGAATCACTAACGCATGGATGCAGAGCATTGCAACGGGCATACATGTGAAAGGTAGTGAACTCACAACATTAAGCGACATATGTGATGGGTCATGCCAGAGTCACGCTCTAAGCACAATCGAGAGTAGCACTAGCATGGGTAGAGTATAGTTGCTTGAGAGTCAAGGAAACATTAGATTGTTGGATTATGATAGCAGGTTATTGGAATATGTATCATAACTTTACATTTATACCATACTGAGGAGGAAATTTCGACGTATTATTATGATTGAACATAAGGGCCTATAAATAGACATATAAAAAGGAAATAACAAGAAAATGAATGGAGGAGGGTAGTCCTATCTATGGGGATATATAAATATATCATTCTAATAAGATATCCAACAAAGATGATTTTTTTCTGATATCACTTTCTTAATTTACTAGGACTATTAAATGTGAATGAAAAGAATAAAGAGTTGTGTGTAGCCTCTTATGTCATTAAGCAAGGTAGAAGTGACTAATGCCTTTATAATCTATTATAAATACTAATGGTAAAAATACAATCAATTACAACTTGTTTGGCATTAAATAAGGTGAACTAAAGGCCTATAAGGCATAATAAATTCACCAAAACAAAATGAAAAATATTAAACCTCATCAATCTTTTTTAAAACCATGAAAAAACCTTGTTATTTTTTTCAAACATAAACATATAAAGATAGAATTATAAAGTTTAGCTCAAAACTCAGGCAATGAACAGATATAGTTGTCTCCCAATTCAATTGTTTCATAGATACCTAAGGAACAATGATCCATGGGTGAACAAAGAATTAGGATCTTAACACCAACATAACACTTCTAGAATTTAAATGTCACAAAATAAAACTCATCTTCATCTCAGCCCTTGCTTCCCATATCATTGAAACCCTAAACATGCTAAAACAACTAACATTTCCTATATATGCAAAGCAAACTTCCCTTTCTCTAATGTATGACCACATCAACCACTCACAACCATTTGCATGCACCAAGCAACTTAAATCAATTTAGTTTCACATGGTACCTGTTTAGAAAAAATCAGAGCACTCTTTCCAAAGCATGTTTTTTTATTCTCTTAATGTTCACACTCTAGAATACGTGAAAATACTGAGCTGGATCTCATATTTCATCCTCAAAGATTAACCTTAAACTTTTATTTCCTTCTCTTTCATAAAAAAAATTATCCACCATCCCCTCCAGATCCTACCCCTTCTCTTTGTCTGCATATTTTTGTAACATGAAGTCTTCCAGTTCAAATCAATTACATCATTCCGATTTACCATCAGAGCAACTCATTCCATGCATCTTTTTTGTTCTCCACCTATAAACTCGAAGGAATCTAGCTGAAGATATATTTCAAAAAGGAGGGAACTTCCTGTTGCAGTGCTAATATTGTTTGTGATGCCTGCATCCATGTAACAGAGATTTCATAGAGAGAGGAGGAATTAGGATTTATTAAGAGATAATACAACTGATAAATATATCTCTTAAAAGGTTAATTAAGAGATTAAAAATTGAATTCTCGGGATATCTTTGCATGCAAAAGTATGTTTATTTTGTAAAGGGACTCATGCAAATAGATTTAAAGGCTTCAAAATAATGGTTTTAGGCAACAAGAACAAATTTAATATTATACAACACATACAGTCAAGGACTAACATTTTTATCATAGGACTTGTTTAGTGACCATGATGTAATATTACTAAAAATCATTTACTAAAAGTCTAAAAGAAAACAAGGCTAAAACATATAAATATGGTGATGATTCAAAACAAATAGGAATTGTGGTGGGAATGCTATACAAAAATGAAAACATATTAGAAACAACAAAGATAAGAACATATGCTTGAAAAATCTATACTTTATTTATCTTCATATATTTAAATTATTGGTGCAAATGTAATTAAAAGGAAAAAAGAGTGATGTAACAAACCTATCATTTCTTAAAGATACCAAGCTTGCAACAACTTTAGCGGAGAGAGCATAAATGGGACCATATGCATGCAAAAAGTATTCACTCCCAAGCAAAAAAGATAGAGGCTCATACCTGAAAAATAATCATCGTATAGTAAATTCACTTGCAAACATATATAATGAACCATCATAAAGTGGTAAAGGATAATGTATCAAAATCAAAATATAAAATATATGCTCCTAAACCATGGTTTAAAATTGCGCAATATGTGGCTCGCCTTGAGGCCCACCTTTGTGCAATTCCAGTAAAAAACGCATCGATGCTTACGCCTCGAGTTTTTTTTATGAGGCTTGCGCCTCAACTTGGTTGAGGCCCGCCTCGCCTCACTGGCAAGAGGCTTACGCCTCACGCTATATATATATTAAAACTTACATAAATCTTGAAGTAAATGCCTGACATTGGACTCTATAGGAGAGGAGGAAGGGGAGAGAGCAGTTCACCATAATGATGATTCAAATGAAGAACCCCTTGGTGATGACAGTGCTGATGACTTATGAGTTCTTATGTGATATGTCATTGATATTTATTTTTGGAAATTGGAATTATATGTTAATGAAAAGAATACTGGGATTTGGGAAAGATAGAATTTTGAGTTGAACTATATTTAATGTTGTTTTATTATTGAGATATTTTGATTTCACTTCATATCTTATGCTTTTTTATGTTTTATATTATTCACTCATTAGTATATAAAAAATTTATCATTTTATGTTTACGCAGTCTTTTGATTTTGAGGCTTACGCCTCGTCTCACGAATGAAAAACGCCTCAATACCCGAATACGCAATTTTAAACATTGTCCTAAACTAAGACACTAGATTGTTTCAAAAGAGATAACAGGTTGACATCTCTAGAATTGACCCACATCTATATGAATAGTGGAATGTCAAGTTTCACTTATAGATCATATTTATGAAGGTTACAAAGTATTAAGAAACTCATTTGTATTGGGTATACAATCACGTAAATAATCTCCCTCATTTGCCACTATTGAGAGGTGCATTAAAATATTAGAAAGAAAAAACCGTAGCAAGAGCTTTCATGATAATATGAATTATAAAAAATGAAATAAAAACTCTTAATTTTTAGATATAATTCATTCAATAATGTAGTGCCATTAAAAACAGGAAATCAATATGAAACTCTAAAACTTATATAGCCAATACCAACCACTTAAGTTTGGGGTCCGTGAATACTGGGCCCTTCTTCATGCATCCAAGGTAAGTTTGTGAGTTTGCACGTTCTTTTGCTATAAGTAGTGAAAGGCGATCTGGAAAAAAATATTTAGAACCCCAAGTGAACTAGCAAGAATAAAAAATCACAAAAACATTCATTATACAAAAATAAATCACCTGGCCTTAAGTATATGTCATCATCAGCTTTAACATAGAAGTCACAATCAAACAATGAATAAGCAGATTTGAAGAAAGCTAACCTATGGAAAGAAAGTAAATTAGATAGTAAACTTTGCTGGCAAATAATAAAATAAACTTACATAGATTATCAGAAGAGATAGCACATTTCCTACGTTTTATATGGGAGTTTGCTATATTCCTCCTCAATGTCTAATAGCAAAAAATCGTCATATTCTTGAACTTCTCTTTTTAGCTCGGCCATCTTCATTTGATCTTTAGTCTTGCCTATCACAAATCGAAAAGCCAGACCAGTTGATTCTTCCAAACTATGAAGACACATAAAATTATCAAATGAGAATATGCATAACTCAAAACTTCCAGAATAATCCATTTTTAAGTAAAATAGAAAAAAATATCTTAGTAGTTTAAATTTCTAAATAGACATTTCCAAGAAAAAAAATCTACCAAATAATGGAATAACAAAGAAACTTCATCAAAAGAATGTTTCAAAAAAAAAGTGCTAGTGCATTTAGGATTAAATCAAGAGAAAGGCAACAAATCATGAAAAGAGCTATATCAAAGGGAAAAAAGTAGCATTCTTAATAATGAATTGAAAATTCCACACATCATAATTAAAAAATTATAGCAAGTTCAAACTCTACAACCTCAACACTGATAGCTAGCAACAACACATAGGAACCCCGACAAAACAAACTACTTTCTTACAAAGATTTAATTCAATTAGGATGTAGTAAATCCAAGTTTAGTAAAACTTAAAGGTGTTAAATTTTTAGAACTAATTGGCATCATATATGTTAAATCTGATTAAAATCTAACAAATTATTTGACTAATATTTTTGAGACTTCGATTTAAATATAGAAGAAGATACATAAAAGTGGTGTAAATCTCAAAAACCATACTTTCAAAAATTTACCCAATCCGATATTTAATGGTAGGATTTGCATAGTTTAAAAAATTATTTGGTAAAATTTAGCTTAGGGTCTGTTTGGTTGGGGGGTTTTTCTGGTGATCTTGACTGAATCTAGCAACCAAACAGCCCCCGAGTTCTAGTGATATAAAATAAAAATGCAAAAAAACAGCAACATCAATACAATTAACGGTGACTTATATAAGTCAATTAAGATACTAAAACAACTCCTAATAACATGCTTGATGTAATTAAGCGCGAAATGGAAGTAGAAGAATACAGGGGAGAGTTACCGGAGAAGACCTTGGCGATCGGAAGGAAACCACGTTTTCCTGAGAGATCTCCGCCTGCCAACAGATGCAAACCCCGTCTGAACGCCAACAAAGCCCATTACTTTGTGCCTTTCTCTCTGAACTCCGCCTACGCCGGCGCCGCCATTGAGGTCTAGAAGGCCAGACAAGGTGTCACTGCGGCGCTCCCAAGCTACGGAGATGGATATGGGATCTGCGGCCAAGCACTTGGGCCCGTAGATGAACCCTCTTAAGAAGGCAAAGGATCCGAAGAGGAAGCCAGCGAAGCCAAAGATCAGGAAGAAAACAGAGAAATTGAAGGAGGAGATGCGGCGGAGGCGGGAGGTCCAGCAGGGCAAGGTGCTATGGGAGTAGAAAACCTTGGGTGATTTAGGCATGGCGCACTTCGGTTCATAACAGTTCGATGAGCCTGAGATCCGGGAGGAAGGAGAAGGGGGGAGCGGGGTCGTCGGAATTGGCTTGCTCAGTTCTTGGGTCTGCCGCGATAAAAAAAAAAAATTACAAATATTCAATAAAAATACAGGCAAGTATCTTGACAAAAAAATATTACATTATTTTTGGATAAGATGCAACTGAAAACCTTAAAGCTTATTACTGCCCAACTATAGAGAGTCAATTTCTTAGTTTCTTTTTAAAATAATTTTGTTATGGTAATCTCATCATGAAGCATTAAAATGCTCTCTTTTTTCAATGACTTGCATTTTATAGGTCAAAAAACATTTTCATATCTCTAATAGTATAGGCTAACTTAAGATAATATTTTTAGAGGCAAAGTATCAAGCATATCTTGATCTTGAATTCCTCATTATTGCAAGCTCTTCTTGGCATTTCTAATTACCCTTCCAACCCTCATTATAGCTCAGCCATCTCTTCATTCCCTCCAAGATTGTCAACCCTCATTATAGCTCAGTCCTCTCTTCATTCCCCTCAAGATTGTCAAATAATTAAAGTGGCTTAATTATATTGAGTTAGCTTTTTGTAATACATGTAGAAATAGGTGAGACTAACATATGGAAGGCAGCAAACTTCTTGAATATTGTTATAATTTTCATATTGAGCTAGAGTGGTCATAAAAAATTTTATTTGAATAAGATGCTTCATCTCTCCATCACTTTGTTATTCTTTAGTAGACATTACTATATGCACTGCTTCCAATATCAGTACCATTTGCGCCAACATTATTTTCAGGGAAGGCCCCTAAAATCTCATAATCACTAGAGCGTGATCCAAATATGATATAAATATATAGGACACCAAAATTAGCTCTTTTTCTCTTCTCAGTCACCGCTATATATCTCCCACTCTACTCTATATTAATCAAGGTAAAAACCACAACTATTCCTTTTGCATGAAAAAATGAGATATTTTGTTATTGGTAAGTATGATTGAATGCCTTAGGTTGGATAAGTGATCAGCCCATTTATTAAATTAGGTTATAAGGACTTTAAGATAGGACACTTGACAAAATTTTATAAATGAATTTGTATACATGTGTATGATAATTTATTCAAAATAATTGATACCACCTTACAAAATTAAATGTCCCAACAAATTTGAGTCAACAAAAAATGACAAAGAATTATGTTTTCAAATTATCCTTATCATAAGGGTAGGAGGAAATGACAGTACTACCACAATCATTTGATCACTTCAAGATGCATCAAGGCCAATCCAAAATATTCATAAGATTAAGCACATGTCATGAGATGTCGATCATATAACATATGGTAGTTCAATACAAGGCACATAAAAGTCCAATCTCTCGATCATTCTCTAGTTTATATTTTCATCAACATATAGACATTAAAAGTGAGGTTCCATCCATTTGTCCACCACTCCCTAAGGTAGAAAATTACATAGAAATCTTTAAAATAAGATGTCTCACTTCTTCACCGACTAATTGACTAATGGATCAAAATGTTCTTTACATAGGAGAATTTTTTTCTTGCTTGGATCTCAGATGTGAATTATCTTCTCATCCACCATCAATTTTTATTCAACTATTAAACTATCATTTACCATCATCTATATAAATATCATTTTTGGGGATGGTAAAGAGTGCTTCTATTGCAAAGTATGATGTATTCTTTTGTATGAGTGGCCACTCTCTATCAAAAGGTAAACTCCATTGAATCAGCTTAAACACTTATGAGCCCTTAATCTTAGTCACATAATTAAGCATTGGAGGGTCTTCACAAGGATAAATATCTAAAGTTGTTCTACTAACCTTTTTATTTTTTATTTTATAATGTGTAATACAAGTTCTCAAGGCTAAGACTACTTAACCACCCATGTTGAACAAACACTCAAATGTTATTTCAAGATACTAAAAAATAAAAATAACAAAAGTATAGATTTTAAGGGTTTAATGAACCTCTTTTGTGAGGAAGTTATGACAAAGTTTATATAAGGTCAATTATGAGTCATGTGGTACAAGTTTATTTAGGTCATTATGAATTATATAAAGCACACCAACATTGATTAATATTGATGTCAGGGATGATTTTTAAAGTAGTAGATAAAAAATTCCAAATATTTCATTTTTATTTATAGAGATAATATTCTTTACTTGAAGCTTCTTATAAGCACGTCCTTATAGTTATTTAACCCAATCACATGTTTGAGATACTTATCAATAAAGGCTTATTTTTAAGCTCTTTGAAGATTGAATGATATGAATTCTTATAATTTGATTGATGTTATGATTTTGAAAGAAACATGGCTTATAAAAGCATGAAAGATGATAAACACATTCAAAATCATATTGTTCCGTCTTCTTAAGTTTTTCAAAGTACCTTGATCTATCATGGGTTCTAAAAGTCCCATAAACTTTAATTTTGTTTCCTTTTTTTCTCTTGGATATTCAAAAAATGATAACTTTTTTTTTATTTTTTTGTCTCCTCATACTTTATTCTTTTATTTTTGTTATTTTTATTGTTGTGTATGATTTGTTCGAAAATCATATTTGGTGGTAAGGTCTTTAGTAAAAAAAATCTTTTTTGTCAAATCTAATAAATTAATAATCAACTCTAAATCAATTTAGAAGAAGTTTTTATTTAATTAAATTTCATGGTGTTTGAAATAATTAACAAAATGATGATCTTTGATCTTTTTTAATGAGGCATAGAGTTGATCTTTTAAGCTATCAAATCCTCTAACTAATTTAGATTCATAAAGTAATATACGATCAAAGTAAAAAATTGATATAATTTTCATTAATGTTTGTTTAATTTTAATTTGATTGGTGATTATGAGTCTTGGAATGCTTAATAAATCATTAAGTCAAGAAATTAAATGGAGAAGTGAAGTTTAAATTTACCAAAATGACATAAATCCTAGAGCCACAATGCCCGGAGAGGCAGTACCGTCGAATTTGGCTCTTTATTTTGGGAGGAGAAAATTAGGGAGTGCTATAATGCTGCACAGCACCATCACGGTGCTGGGTGGTGCCGCCACAGTGTCAAGCCCTCTGTTTGTGAGATTCTAGAAGAATATTGTAGACTTTCTTAGAACACAATGGAGCTCAAAGGTGGGCACCATGGCACTACGTCAAAATGATGATTTTTATATATATAAATGTCTAAATCCATTTATGAAAACATTTATGTAACACCCTAAAATCAATTTTTCAAAGAATTACATATTTAAATATCTTAATTAACCAATAAGAGCTTCTATAAATTTAACAATATAAATCAATCTAGTGGAAGCAACTAAAAATCATATACATCAAAATATAAAAATACATTCATCCCTCAAAATTCATGTACAGAAACTAGAAGATCAATTATTACATTCGTTCAACTTTCTAAACTTCTGACTTTGAAATAATAAAAATAAACAAACTACAAAAATAAATTAAAACTTTAATTCTTGATCTATCCTCACTAAATTGGATCATAATCTCTTCAAATAAATATGTAAAATCATAAAGTGAACTAACAACTCAATAGGTTACTAGAACCTAAAACTTAAATTATTGAAAGATAATATGAACATTATGCATGTTATCATTCAATTACTATCAATATGAACATATAACTATAAAAGCATGTAATAATCTTCAAAACAATAATAGGTTATATGATAAAAAAAATCAGTACAACTGTATATCATAAGATAAATGATCAAAAACCAAGTTAATAGTGATCAATAAGTTATATGAATCATATACCTACTAGTTACAAAATAATTTATATAGCATCTTATTATATTAGTACACCTATCATTTTATTTACATGTTATATATTATCTATGATATGCATTATATCATGGAAATCACGTGATTCATATATATCAATACATTTGTATCAATTTTATTAGTCTTATCAGATATTTGTATCAATCATAGCCTATATCTTATGTAATTGATATCATATCAATTATGTAATCTATCATATATGCTCCTATAATATGCATAGATAAGCAATGAAATTAATGTAAACAAGATAGGACACGTGGCTGCTTGTGATGTTTTCTTATATCTAGTCATATAAGCCATTCATATAGGAATGAGTCTAAATTATATTAATCATGTGTTGCAACTCGAGCTCACTAGTTTATGTTTTTGATAATAACAAACATTCTAACTCACATCCATATGTCTACTTGTATTTGCAATGTATTTTTATTTGTGTGCGTACTAATATTTCAGAAACATCATTCACCATCCAACAAAGATTCAAGGCTCAAGATTGGGTAGAATATGCTATACTGCAAATATTTTTGTAATATTCATTGATGTATTTGTGATTTCTTGAGTTAAGTCCTATAAAGGTGTATGTTATCTTGGTGACTATGCACATACACACTCAGAGGGAATGAGATTGATTCAAAATCAGATGTTCAAATTTTGAATTAATCATATTATATGATTTATATCATATTATAAGATCAGCTCATCTAACTAACACTATAGGAAATTCAGCTGTTACCAGAGCCTATACCGGCGGTTTTCTAGACGCCAGTAATAACGACGGTTTAGCCGGCGGTTTGGCCGCCGGTTAATACCGGCGGTTATTCAAACATATGTTGCTGGAACTAGTGGCGATCATAAAACTATCGGATTAATCGCCAGACTTAAATATGACCGGCGGTATTGTACCGGTGGTTTACCGACGCTCTCCGGCGGTTGTTCGGTGACATGCCGGTGGCTACAACCACCGGAAAATGCCGTCGACACGGACCACTGGTTAGCCGCCGGTATGGTTTCCGGTGGTTAACGACCGTAAAGCCGCTAGTACTAACTCCGGTGATAACTGACGGCATCGACTGCTGGAAAGCCGTGGGGGAAATAAACCGCCGGAAAAATAATGCTGGCAACGGTTTCCGACACCATTTTTTTTTGACGGCTTGGCAACCGCCGCAAAGCCGCCCGTTTTTTTTAAAATCGTCGGTAATACCAGGTAAACCGCTAGAAAGAACCGTCGGTAATAGCTAAATTTTTTGTAGTGTAATCATACTGGGTGATTTAGATCATACAAGATGATCATTTAT